TGAGATCATCTTTTAATGATCAGCTCCAAGCACATTCACATCAATAGCCTGGACTGGATACAGAGAGAATCTGCAAACTTTTCTGGGAAAAAAAGCATTGAATGCTGGTATCAAGCTCTGAGCCTGCATGTAGTGTGGTAAACTAATATAGCTGTCTCCATTCAGAGAGACTGGACAATTCAATTGCAGAGGTCAGAGATGTGTTATTTAGGAGAGGAAATCCCAGATCTGCCATATCTATTCTACCTCAGTTTTATCCTCTTCAGTGACACTTGTGTCATGATGGATTCTCGCTGTTAATGCCCCCAAAGTAATCCATGCACCTATCAACTGAGATCTCATTCCTCATGCTAAACTCATGTACTGGATATTTTAGGATAAATTTTGGAGCATGCACCTGATGTTTCCACCATGTATAATTTTTATATATAGAATATAAGCTTTAGCCAGGTACATACTTGAGCTGTGGTGAACTTGAAAAAACCTAGCAAGGACCAGAGAGAAAGGAGCATTTCTGTTGGCAAGTTTCTGTCATTAGGAGCAGCTGGCAACTAAACAGCAACTAATCATTAAACTTCATAGGCCAAATTCTTCCTTACAGCTATTCAATTGAAACTTCTCTGTTAGAAAATAAACAGGCCTTGTGCTGCGGAGCTTGACCAGCTCTAATTTCAGCTTTGCAGCTAGTAATACTTTTCTCTTCAAAATTGCTTAGTAGATGTTTTTTCATGCATTTCCATCACCCACACAACCACAAAACCACCATGAAGTTCTGCAAAATAGTACCTTCTGTTCACCAGAGGCCCCTGATTCAGATAGCAAAATTATTCTATCGTGTAGCCACCCCTATTTCAAAAGTAAATTGAAGAAAATTCTTTCATTTCATTTCCCAGCTGGCAAACCCAAGAGCCCACAGAGAGAACTGGTTTCTATAAATATTCATGTCTATAAATGCCAACTAAAACTTGGTCTAAAAGAGCATAATGAATTAAGAAACAACTCAGCAAAAAGACATCCTTTCTCTCTAGCTCACCAGGCAGGGCTGCTGGCCCTTGGACCAGGAGCTCCACTTTGAGTCTCAGCTCTGGAGCACACTCTCTGCTCTTTGAATACCAGCATAGTTTTTAACTGCTAGAGCACCTCTGTAGGATTCTGAAGCATACTGGTCAGTTCAGCCCTCTGTTTCAAGCTGAAGGAGTTGTGCTGAGACATTTAGTTCAGTTACCTTAACAAGGCAAGACGAATCGCAACTCCTTTAGCTCCAGACACCCAGTCAGACATCTGAGATAGTCACCTGATGCTCTGCCTAGAGCCAGTAGAAGGAGCACAACATCTCCAGAGGATCCTTTGCCTGATCTATTTTCAAATGAGGTGAATCTCCCTCCAAGAAGAGTATGGTAATCAACTTAGACTTGCATGTCTTTTTCACACCTAAGGGTGTAAACTTCAAGGAAGTCTTACACACATTTCTAGACATTTCATTGCAGGTGATTGACAGACATTAATATATCACTGCTGAAAAATATTTTCAGTATTATGGGAAATAATGCCTGTCAAAAAAGTACCTATTGAAGGATTTTCAGCATTGATGAGAGCAAAAGCTCTTTAATTTTATGGTTTCCCTTCAGAAACTGTATCTCTATAGAAGTGATGTATAAGAAAGCTATACATTCCAGTAACCTACTTCTTTTAAGATTACTTCCTATTTTAAAAGCACTGTTTGTTTCTATGTTTATCTAAGGGACTCATTGTTCTAGCACCGATGTCTGCTATTAAGTCTTTCAGCATTGTTCTACGATGTTTATTCTTTTTCTTGTATTTTTTTTTTCTGTCAATATATAATAATGACTATGCTAAATTTAAAAATGCGTTGTCAAGTTGGTCCAGAGACTATATCCTAAGTTTACATTAATAAACAGCATAAAACCTTACCAGTAGGAGCTGAGTGGTAGAGTGAAATACTTAGTATTAAGGGCACAACTTTCACAGTACCTTTTTTGTGGTTCTTACTTACAATTCTCTCCAAAATCATCCTGTAGACTGAACTTCCATTAGCACTTGGAGTACATTAAATGAGCTCCTCCTTCTGCTCAGTTTTATCAGAATCAGTTTATGTGCATCTTTTTTAGATGAACAAATGCAGGTGATCAGGACAATAATTTTAAAAGTGCATTCCCGCTCTAAATAATGTGCTCATGTATTTTAATCTATCGTTCTTTCAGAAAAAAAGAGAAATGTGGAACACTGCTGTGTGTTCCCTGGTATTGCCACAGGACTGCATCTTTAAATTTTTTCAATCACAATTTCTGAAATTTTGCTCCCTTTTCAGTTTTGAAAAAAATAGGACTTTCCACACCATTCCACTTATCCGAACATTTAGAAGACATTGAAAATTGACAGCAGAAGTCAATAGGGGATACATAATCCCTTCCTGGGAAGCAGTCTTACCCACATAGACACCTGTAGATGGATTTCTGACCCTGTTTAAGGTCCTGGTAAACCTTTCACCACCTACAAGGAGCAAAGATTTAATCCCTGAAGTTTCCAGATGTACAAGCTGAGTAGTAAGGCTTCTAATTTCCTAGGACTCAAGTTCTTGTGGTCATAATTACAGCCATAGTCTTGAAGACAACACATGCTCATACCCAGCACATAAAACACAGGCATTCCTTCCTTGAGGTTAACCACTTGTGAAGTTATTACATCCATTAGCAGAATTCACAATCCTGTAAGAAAACATCATGATGGACTCCAAAAAAATGTACTAAGACATCTGAGGACAAAATACTTTTTTTTTTTTTTTCTGTAATGCAACCAAGAGTTCAGAAAAACTGGCCAAGAATTGCCTTTTGAAGGTTGTTCTTTCCTAGTTGACCTGTGGAGTGAGTTTAAGTGATTGTCTTAGATAAACACAACTTTTAGATGGCAAGGATTATGTTAGAAGACTGTCACCACCACATGAATCCTTATAGTTCTATAGCTTAGTTCCTAATATCTTTTTGGTTTTCCAGTTTCCAAAGAGGAAGCTGATGATGTCGCAAAGACAGCCTTTAACAGGGCTTCAACAATTCAAAATTGATTCTGTTAGCTTACTGCACAAAGCCTCAGTGCAGCACCTGGGTTAAAAGCTGCATGAAGACAGGGTACTACCAGAGCCAAGTGTCAGAGCAGGAGAATCCACAAACCACGACCCTACAGCTGATGCCACCTTGGAAACTCACTGACTGGAAAAGTCACTGCTTCAGGGGCAACAGAAGCCTTGCAGAGCAAAACATCTTGAGAGGTTTGTAACACACTTAGATACCATTTCTCATCTTCACTTGCTGATGCCAGACTTGAGATAGTGGAAAATTATGGACTCTATAAACATGATGCATTTAGCCCACTCACAATATGGTTTTAACCCACACACAGTCTGGGTTTCTCTACCAGGGAACTGTACCAGCTGCCAGTTCTTCACAAGATAGGTGGCAAGGCAGCACAAACAAGGACTCAACATGGGGACTTGGCCATTACTGAGATGTAGCTGTTACCTTTTTACCTTGCATCCCTTGAAATGTAATCTAAATCAACCACACAGAGTATTAATTGTGCCACCGATGTAGTGAGAGATACAAGGAACTCAAGGAAAGCTCTGCAGTTAAAGAACAAGGTATGCTCTTCTGTTCTTAATGATAATGGAGGACACCAATTATGAGAGCACACAACTAGTCAGAACTGAGATACACAGCATCATGTGGGAGAAAAAAACATCTGACCCTTTTCTCTTACTGGAAAGTTTAATGACCATGATTGATATTTTTAAAATAATTTAAAAGCCAAACCTAGAAAAGAGCAGAGATGGCTAAAGTTGCCAGCTGTATTCCTACATTTAAGGAAACCTGTATGTTAGATCTCTGCTACTCACTTTGTACTTTAAAGCATCAGAGGAATATAATGAAAAACCAAAAATATTACACAGAAAATGTCAAAGATTTACCTAAAAAAAAGCATGACACAACAAAGTAATTCATAGTGAATACTGCTTTAAATTATAATCAATCAAATCTGAAGATTCTTGGAAAAAAGAGACAACCTAGCCATTAAGAAACTAAGTATTTAGGCAAGTCCAATGTGTTGCATAATCCCGCATAATACATCTCATAGAGATGGGGGAAACTGCTCTTTAAGCTTTTTGGTGATAACACAAACTTCATTAAAATAAACCTGTTTATCTGGACAATATTAAGGCAAAGTCCAGATCTCACTTGTCTGTGTAATGCAAGGTATGTTTCCATCCCCTTGGCAGAGAAAAAACAAAAACAGAGTCGCATGCCAGCACTAGCGAACACAATCATTTTCCAAGCAACGTGTAGCTTGAAATTTACTTGCCCAGACTAGTAATTTGCAAAATACACATTTTACAGGAGACAGGAATGATTCATATCTGATTCACAAGTAAAGAAATGTCAATGTTTGCCAAATTTTTGCCTTGACAATACCAAAAGTGCCCTCAAACCAATACTGCAATATTATCCCAAGGATATTTCCCAGCAAAAAGTACAACTAAATTATGAGAAGACATGAGCTGCAAAACATCACCCGATCAAGTCAAGCAGTCGAGCATTTTTAAAACTTTTGTGTCTCTGGAAACCTGAAGTCTCAAACAGATTAAGCCATGGGAAAGAAAGAATCAGAAAAGTTAAGGCTGGATACAACTAATTAATCCACAAAACAATTAACAAAAATCAATAAAGAAAAGTGGAGATGCAGCACGGAAAGAAGACTTAACACACGAACTGAACAAATGGGCAGAGAGAAGGCTGTCTGATCGTATATCAACACAAAAATGCACTTTGCACGGAAATATGTAATTTGAGCATTTTAAACCTGCAATTTACATAGCGTATTCAAACGCGACAACAGAAAGACGAGCGAGCGATTTTTGTTTGCCTTGCAATATCTGAACCGCAGAAAAGCATTTCAAAAGCAGCACAATTCAGCGGAAAAAAACTCCAAACCATGAGTAATTACACAGAGCAGCTGAGGGGTAGGTGGATACGAGCGGCTTCCCCGCGCTGCTGCTGAGGAGCGTTAACCCTTCCGCAGCCGAGGAGCCCGGCCGCACATCCCGAGGGCTGCTGGGCTGCCCGGCACCGACGCCCTCCGCGGAGAGCGGCCCCGAGGGCGGCGGGCACCGAGGGAACGGGTCCGCACTCGGTGCAGAGGGTCGCGGCCGGGAGCGGTGCCGCGACCCCGGCCGGGGAAAGGGCCGGAGCGCCCAGAGGAACCTCGGGCGGCCCCGCTCCGCAGGCACCGAGGGGCAGACGGCGGCCCCGGCTCCGCCAGCAGGGCCACCTGCCTTCGCTTTAGGGCTCCTCGGCTCCAGTTTCTGCTGTGCTCCGCCCGCGCCAGCGCTGCCCGCCAGCCCCGAGCCGCGGCCCCCCTGCCCCGAGGCTCCGAAGGTAGAGCACGGGGAGCCCCCTCCTCCCCGCGGGCCGCGGCTGCCCGGCCCCGCACACCTACCGCCGGCCGCGCTGCTCCGCGGGCGCTGTGNCGCTGCCCGCCCCGCAGCGCCGGCACCGCGCACAGGTGGCGGCGGAGCGGCCGCCTCGTCCCGCGCTCCCGGCATTGGTCCCTTCCAAGTTCCTTAGGGCCCGCTTCTAAGTACGATTCAAAGGGAACGGACTTCGCCGTCTCTGTTCACCCAGGGGCAAAAATAAATAGCGATGTGCAAATAACAATCGATAATGCAAACAAAATATCCTTCTGCTAGGGGTTATTCAACGGGCATGCTTAAATACAGCGCTATTTATCTGTAACTGGTGAGTTCGTGTACACACTTTTAACACCAATTAACAGGCACCGCACTTGTTTTGTTGGACCCTGATGAATTTTGCAGATTATGGATTAGGCAGGTATAAGAAAGTTAATACAATGTCTATGAACCAAATTGTGTTTAAACTCTTAAACAGTAAGAGTATTACAAACCTAATAAAATAAACTGTATGGTAATATTAATCTTATTTCTGCCTTTAAATAGTTCAGAGAGCAATTTGCATATGAAAATGTCTTCATGGAGAAATTAACTTCTAACCCCAGTACCATTCCGAGACTCCAGCTGAAAGGAAGCTTATGCAAAATGAACATGTGCATCATTAGCGCGAACGTGAGCACAGATGTGTACATTTACAGCCATTAGCAGGTTCACAGAATGACTCTGGAGAGCTGAGGGAGTAGCAAGTCACCAAAGAGCTTCCTAGAAAATGGAACCTTGCAAGCTGAGAAATGTTATTGACCATTTGCAAAAAAACGATGATAACAGCCTTAATTAGGAATGGGGACTGACTATAAAAAGAAGAAAAAAAAGTTGCATTTTTATTTTTCTCCGTGTGACCTAAGAGTTTTAAAAAGTGCAAAACCATAGGGAAAATCCCAAATGCAAAGTGCAAGATAACCATGTAATCACAACTGATGATACACTCAGCAGCTTAGCGTGTCTGGTTCACCTGACTGATTCGAAGGGCGTTTCAAAGGGGTCCTGGTGCAGAGCAGAGTGGGGACACACACTACCGAGCACGCCCGAACCGAAGCCCAAAGCCCCCGTGGCACAAGCGGGGGACATGGCGTGTCCAAAGCACCGACGCGAGTGCCAGCTAGAGGTGGCTGGGGAAAAAGAGCACACAGCTCGCACATTCCCAAACGGAACTTGCTGATTCGGTCTTATCCTGCAGTAGATGCTGATTGCCCAGACAAAGCCAGTCACCTGGAAGATGTTTAGTTGAATAATCTGCCCAAATGGGTTTAGGGTGGCTGTCAGACTCATTTATATGTGTACAGGGTGAATTCCACAAGGACTTGGATAGTTCTACTCAGATACAACTGGTGTCTTTGTTTTTCATCAGGCTTGTTTTATCAACCAAAAGAACTACAGATTAGTTTTCCAATTGTTTCCCTTTATCTTCCCCATCTTTAATAAATCCAGGATCCAGAATTACATTATTGACTTCTGCTGTACTGTAATACGAAAGATCCTGGCTAGAAAGAGACTTGAAGGCCATCAATCCTTACCTGGTTTTGGTCAAGTTCTGATTCCCCATTTCTTCTTTTGCCTTTTCCTCTTCTTTGTTTGCTAAATAAAAGTAAAAGCTACTAGAGTAACTTTTCACAACAGTATTTGAACTTGTAGTCACAAAGGCTTGTGACACTTACAAATGCTGTCACAAACAGTCCAACAGTTGCAGTGGTTGCTGTATCTCTCATTGCTAAAGCACAAAGCATGAAATGTCATCAATCAGGTTGTAATCACCAGAAATATACTTTCCATCTTTGCTTTCTTTTCACTCCAGAGCATATTTACTGATAGCCTTTAGATGGTTTAAGGGCTGAGGAAAAGGATGTTTCCTCATTTAAGAAATCAGTAAAGGAAAAAGTCTTCCATACAATATATTGCTTTTTTAGCACTTTTTCCTCTTTTATGCAGCTTACCAGGCTTAAATTTGCTCTAGAATCAATTACTTTTTCTGATATTAGGTAAATTGAAGTTCCTGTACTAAGCATCCTTTTAAAAAGGAGGAGTGGGACAGAGGTAGGGGGAGAGCAAAAATTCGTTTTACAACATTTGATTCTCTTAGACTATTGATTCCATGCAAATTATGACATCATTGCCACAACATCACACAATCCTGTTTAGTATTGTTACTCTGTTTGGACTTGTAAGAAATTTTTGCTTTATATTTCTGAAGTTCTTTTACTAGTAAGATCTGGAATGGAAGGAGTAGCAGGTAACATACCTGATAAGAGTTCTCACAGTTTCTTGAGTCTTCTCAGAATCAAAACCACAGAAAACAATTTTGGTCAGCCCTGCAGTGGTCAGGCAGTTGAACTTAATGGGCATTACAGGTCCTTTGTTCCACTGAAATATTCTATTACATCAGAGTGTCAAACCCAAAGTTATTCTATTAAAATAAGCATATTCAATTTCTGGTTGAACACTGCTGTTCCTACAATTGAAAGAGAAGTTAGAATATACTTGAGCATTTATCCCCACCAAAGTAAAGACATAGGGGAAAGAAAAAAAACTAAAAAAAAAAATTAAACCTACTCCAGAGAGTCTGATTTGCCTACTTCAAATAATTTGGGTTTGAAGAACAAAGATTATATTCTTTCATTTTCTAGAATATGACAATATTAACCATATTAACCATATAAAATACAGCATTCTATTTTTGATATTCTGACTGATGTTGAAGATTTATTTATGATATGACTCTACAGGGTTAGAGCATGTGAAATCATAACTATAAACACATGTACTGAGTAACTAAAGGCTAGAATGATCCCAATTCTAATTTATTTTGAATATACACATCACCTGACTTTTTGTTCTTTCAACTTGGCAGCTAACTAGGGTTTTTAATGTTAATATTTCATTATAAAGATATTAATAATTCATTATATCCTGGGAAATGATGCTATTTTATTCCAATATAAAACCACGATTCTCATGCAAGCTTTACTGCAAATTTAATTAAGTCTGTCAGTTAACAAAATTCAATATATTTTGTCATATTAAATGAGGCAGTGTGACTTAACCCTTAGTAGTGTGCCAACAAAGGCTCCATTCAGAAGTATACAGAAGCACTTTGAGATTTTCTTTATCTATCTGGGCTTGCTTCCACAATTAAGTTGGTACTTCATATTTCTTTATACTGCATCACAGAGTAGTCTCACAGGAGTGCTACTTCTCAGCCAGTGAGCTGATATTGACACACAGAGCAGTAAAAGATAATAAATGTGTGGTGCCAAAAGATTGTTTGCTCAGCTTTACCTCAAACCATGTGCATACACCTGCATGGTCTTTGCTCCAGCTGCCACAGCCCAGCCTGGAAGATCACATCCTTCAGGAAAGATTTGTTAAACTGTACATGGCAGTAATGGCAAGTTGTGTTTAAAAGAAATATTGCTGGGACAAATGCACTATTTCCAGCATGGCAAGCCATCACCTTCACTTCCCCATCACAGATGATATTTTCCCCACAGGAGGACATTCCTCAATGATCAGATCCCCTTGTTTTGCCATCTAATAGCAAACCAAATGACCAGTATCTGCAGAGCTTGTTCTACCTGCAATCTGAGCAACTGAAGAGTTTGTAGAATAGCAGTGCCAGGAGTGTAATGGCTAGTGGAGAAATCTAAAGCCTCAAATGCTTAATATAAACATAGAGAGCTAAAGGCTTATCAAACATACTCATTTTATGTAATTTGAAATCTTTCTTTTCTGTAACTGCAAGCAAGTCTCTATGATTTGGCATTTAGAAATCCCAAGGAGACAGTGGAAATTAATATTTTATTTGCTGTGCTTAAATAAGGAAGAGTATTTTAAAGTGACAGAGAATATTGCTTGTTGTAGCACCTTTCACAGTGCCAAATGGGATTAATGAGACACTAGATCTGAAATCTTAAAGGGGATTTATTTTTAGCTTACTTTTCTATTAATTTTAGTAGTATTTACCATAGAGTTTTTCAGTTTTCAGCCAAAGGATTATTTGCCAACTGTTTACTCTAAACATGAGAGCTGTGTTTTATGACGCTGAACTTGTATCACCAGAAACATTTAGAAGTATTTTGTATCAATCTACCTTTTGGAATTGAACTAAGAATGACAAATGTAGTGAGCAGTAAACTCTTTGGGGCTTGTAAACCCAACATAATAATTAGGCCAATTTTTTGCAATTACATGTGCAAAAAACCTGAAGTATTTTTTGTGTCTCTATGGAGCTATTCACTGAATATGCAAGATAGAGTAGTCAAACAGTTAATATACAATGTTCAGTATGTTAGCTGAGAAATTACATCAATGAAGAAATCCTTCTTTCTTGCCCTGTTTTGAGAAGTTCCTACCTACTCGCACCTTTTGCCTTCCAAAAAATCAGACTCCTAGTAGGGAACTCAGTCAGTTTAGCAAAGAGGCAGGAAAAGCCAACACAGCTGCATGCAGTGAGATCACCACATTTATCTCACTGGGTCTGAATTCCCTTACTAGAGTCACCTCCCTTCTGTGCAATGTTTCCCAGATTTCAACAACCAAGTCAAACACAGAATTATTTGTAAAAAAAATTGAAATCTTTAGTTATCCATATACAGCTGAACATTAACACTGGATTCCACAAGAAAGGGTATACATATTTTGGTGTAGCTATTCTTCCTAATGGACTGTCCAGTCCTATAATCACTGGGATGAAAACTAGACATGAAACTAAATATAACCTGAAGAGAATTAATGCAAATCCTCCTGATCTCACTGCCCCAGTAATAAAGAAAACAAAATCACTTCGGAAAATTCGCCAACATGTAGACTATCAGGACTTCAGCCTTTGAATTCAAAGCTGGATGATTGTTCAAGAAGTATCTTTTTTACAAAGCAAAGTTATAACCGTTAAATCGGAACATTCCACATATTTCTTCAGTAATTTTAACATCGGCTATAATAATGACGTTATAGT